GGGGTCTTGGACGACTATGGGCAGGGCCTGGACTGGACGATAACCCTCTCCATACGTCTCCCTGTCCCCAGGGACCAGAACAAGTACAAGGAGGCTGCTCACCTGCTCAATGATGCCCTGGCCATTCGAGAGAAGACGCTGGGCAAGGACCACCCAGCTGTGAGTGAGGGTGGGTGGAGGTGGGGGCTGCTGCTGCTTTCTGCAGCTCCCAGGTCCCAGAGCCCCTGCCCAGCAGGGCCCTGGGTCACAGAGCCTCTGTTCTCTGACCCCCGCAGGTGGCCGCAACATTAAACAACCTGGCAGTTCTGTATGGCAAGCGGGGCAAGTACAAGGAGGCCGAGCCTCTGTGCAAGCGCGCACTGGAGATCCGGGAGAAGGTGGGAGCAGGCAGGGCTGGGCGGGCCAGGCTGTCAGGCGGGCCAGGCGGGTGGGCGGGCAGGGGCCTGGGCCTGCGCTGAGCCCAGCCGCTGGCTCCCGCTCCCATCCCAGGTCCTGGGCAAGTTTCATCCAGATGTGGCCAAGCAGCTGAGCAACCTGGCGCTGCTGTGCCAGAACCAAGGCAAAGCTGAGGAGGTGGAATACTACTACCGGCGGGCGCTGGAGATCTACGCCACACGCCTGGGGCCTGATGACCCCAACGTGGCCAAGACCAAGAACAATCTGGTACCCTGGGCTGGCTGAAGGGAGGGAGGCAGGAGGCAGGGGGAGGAAGCAAAGGAAAAGGCTCAGCTGCCTGCGCCCCATCCATCCTCCGGCCCTGCCTCTCCAGGCCTCCTGCTACCTGAAGCAGGGCAAGTACCAGGATGCCGAGATCCTGTACAAGGAGATCCTCACCCGTGCTCATGAGAAGGAGTTCGGCTCTGTTAATGGTGAGTCCACAGCTGCCACATGCCCCCAGCTTGCCCAGTGCAGCCTCGCTTGGCCATCAACTTCTACAGCAGCTGGGCAGGCCCTCGTGCCTGGGGTCTGGCGGGTCCCCAGCGCTCGTGAGCACACGTGAGCATGTACACACACCTCCTGAGCCCTGCCTGAGCCATGCACAGCCTTTGCATACCCCATGCCCTTGGCCCAGTCTCTCTCCTTTCTCGACTGGGCAACTCCTGCTCACCGCGAAGGCCCAGCCCAGGTGTCCTCCTCTCTGGGACACTGCCTTCTGGCTCCTGATATTCCGTCATCTCCTGCCCCGGAGTCCTTCGGCCTGGCCCACCCTCCAGGTTCAGCATGTGCCTGAGACTGGGCCTGAGCTGTCTAAGGGTCTGCTCCCCCAAGCCCCTCAAGCACAAGCCTGTGCCACAGTGACCGCTGTCCCAGAGGAGGGTCAGTGTTTTGGATCTGACTTTTGTTCATTCATTCAACAAAGCCCAACCTTGGTCCTTCCTGGCTACCCCTCCCCGCTCCCCAGGCCCCAGTTGTATGTTCAGCCCAACCAGGAGAGGCCTACAGGGCAGGCTGGTGACAGGCTCCTTTCTCTCTCCAGGGGACAACAAACCCATCTGGATGCACGCAGAGGAACGGGAGGACAGCAAGGTAGCTCTGCAGGGCAGGGCTGGGGGGGTGTCCAGGGACGGAGGGCAGAGCTGGGGAATGTGTAGAGGGGAGGGCCTTCTCCTGCTGCCCCTGACCGTTCTTTCCCCCAGGATAAGCGCCGGGATAGCGCCCCCTATGGGGAATATGGCAGCTGGTACAAGGCCTGTAAAGTAGACAGGTGAGGACAGTGGGGCAGGGCTGGTGGGAGAGCAGGCAGCAGGGACCCAGGATCCTGGGTGGGGGTGGGCTGCACAATTAATACTGTTCCCCCCACCCCAGGACCACAGCTCTTCTCTATCAGCTTGTTGTTCAAGGCCTGGGTCATAGGCCACCTGTCCCAAAGTGGCTTTCTGCACGAGGAAAGCTTGATTACATCATTCTTGGGTCTCTCAGCTTTTGGTCCTAGGGGCAATGTCCCACTTAGGGCCCTGGGGCCAGGTCCGTAGCCCTGGGGTAATTCCAAGACAGTGCCATTGGACCCAGCTAGCACAAGCTTGACACTTAGGAGGGGCGAGATCCTGGCTGGCCAGATGGCTCCTTGGAGCCCAGTGCAGGCTGGATGCCCGCATAGGCTCCAGTTCCTGCAGAACACGGAGTTTGAGACAGTCCTGCTGTCCTGTCCACAGTCCCACAGTCAACACCACCCTGCGCAGCTTGGGGGCCCTGTACCGCCGCCAGGGCAAGCTAGAAGCTGCACACACACTGGAGGACTGTGCCAGCCGCAGCCGCAAGCAGGTGGGGCAACAGACGTGAGGGGTGGGCGGGGACCTGCTTGGCCCTGTTGTTTTCCAATCAACCTGGTGCTCCACCTAATGTGCCCTCTGCTTCCTCAGGGCCTGGACCCTGCAAGCCAGACCAAGGTGGTGGAGCTGCTGAAAGACGGCAGTGGGGGGCGGGGAGACCGCCGTGGCAGCCGAGATGTGGCCAGGGGTGCTGGGGCTCGGTCTGAATCCGACCTCGAGGAGGCAGGGCCTGCAGCCGAGTGGAGCGGAGTGAGTGCCGAGGTTAGGGAGGGCCAGGGGGCTGTGTGGCCAGCATGGCACAGAGACAAACCTGTTCACCCCACAGGACGGCAGTGGCTCCTTGCGGCGCAGCGGCTCCTTTGGGAAGCTCCGAGATGCTCTGAGGCGCAGCAGTGAGATGCTGGTGAAGAAGCTGCAGGGTGGTGGCCCCCAGGAACCCCCCAACCCCAGGTCAGCCTTTGCCCCGCTAAGCCCCCCATCCAGGGTGAGCCTCAAGAACCCACCCAACAAACCCCAAAGGGGCTGCTGACCCAGGGTGAACTCCCTCATCTCTCTCAGGCTCCGCCACCCACCAAAACCGTTCCCCTCCCAGCAGCCTCCCTCCCCAACCCTACCCGACCCCGTTCCCCTTCCTTCCCCAGTTCCACCCTGGGCACATCCAGGTCTTCCTTTCCCCTCAGGATGAAGCGGGCCAGTTCCCTCAACTTCCTCAACAAGAGTGTGGAAGAGCCAGTCCAGGTATGGGGTTGCGGGGGGAGGCCCAGGCCCCAGGGCGGGAGGCCGGCATGTCCTGTGTCCCTGCTGAGCTTCCTCAAGCATGTCTCTTCATCCAGCAACATTTCCTGTCTCTTTCCCAGGCCCAACTTTGGGCTGGACACTGGGGAGACGAATTAGGGAAAGCCAGCTCCTGCTTGGGTGGACACGCAAGTGGCCAGTGCCAACACAGTGGCCGTGGAGGGGGGCAGGAGTGTCACAGCACCTGCTGGGGTGTGGGCGGGGCTCAGGGACTCTGGCTGGTCAGACCCCTTCCCCTTCGGGCCAGGGAGGCACAGACTGGCAGCAGCACAAGGTTGAGCCACCTGCCCCCCTCTGCCCACAGCCTGGAGGCACAGGCCTCTCTGACAGCCGCACCCTCAGCTCCAGCTCCATGGACCTGTCCCGACGAAGCTCCCTGGTGGACTAATACTGAAGGGGCAGCCGGTTGCCAGAGCCTCCGCCCGGCACTGCCCCCATCCCCAGCCCTGCGCATGGGCCTGCTGCTTGCCCCGCCTGTCTCTCCCCAGGACCCTTGTCTTTTCTGTTCAATCTCAGGGTAACCTCCTCCCTTGTCATCTCAGCCTGAGCCCTGGAGGCTGGGCCTGCCCCGCTGCAGCTCTACCCCTTATTTATTCCTTTCTTCAGGGTCCCCTCTACCCCAGGTTCAGGGCCAGTGAGAGAGGCTGACAGGGGTCTTCCAGGAGATTCAGTGGCCCACCATCTCCCGACCCCGGAGCCAAGAACACTAAGCACCTGCCCCTGCCCGTCAGCACCCCTGTCCTCCCCCCGGCCGTTGCTTCTGTATATAGAGAAATAAGTTATTGGCCGCGCCCCTCCCCTGAGTCTAAGGTACTGCCCGGGCCTCCCCTCACCCTTCCCTTCTCCAGTGGTACCGCCCAGGCCTTAATCACCCCCATTCCGCGCGGTGGTATCTCCCAGGCTCCATACACATCTCGGGGGCCTCCCCAAAGGGTTTCCTGGGACTTGTAGCGCTCCTCCCGGACTCTGAGGGGTGCGTCCTGCCCCGCCATCACCCCATGCCCCAGGACAGAAAGCCCTCCCCTTCACCGCCGGGCCCTGCCGCGCATCCCGGCCTTATGCACTGCCCTTCCCGCCCGGCCCCGCCCAGGCACGGCCTGACCCCGCCCCGGGCACCGCCAGTTGAGCCATCCAGCCACGCCTCCCACCCTTGCAGCATCTCTCGAGGGACAGTGATGTCCCCCTGTGGCCGGTGGGGCTGCCCCAGTTGGGGGGTGAGGCGGTTGCTCTCTATTTTCGAATGTGGCTGTAGAAATAAAGACGGTTTGAATCCGAGCCATGCTTGTTTTGGGGTTGAGGCCGGGGTTCCCAGCGTCTCTTGGTTGGGGGTGGAGACGGGAAAGTCTGCTAGTGAGTGTGGAGTGTGTGTGTCTCTCATGTCTGATCCCTCGCAGCTGGAGCCCAGATACTCTGCTCCTATCCCGGATTTAGGGGGTGGGGGGCGTTATCTGTGAGATTCTGGAAACTGTGGACTTCGAGCTTTTTCCCTTACTAAGCTGGTACACCTTGAGCGAGTTACCAAGACTCGATTTTTTCATGTATAAACTCTGCATGATGACTTTCCTCTGGGGCCTGTGGCTGTGAGTTAGCGCTAGCACACGAAGAATCCTGGATAAATGAACTTTTACAACTCCGGGAGCTGGGAGGGTAGAGATAATTGTCTTTGTTAGACAGATGTGGAAAGTGTCAACCCCAGCCCTAAATCGAACTTCCAATTCGGGGCCGCCTTGAGCCTCTCGAGCGCCGTCTTCAAGCCCAGGTATGCCTAGAGAATGAACTACAAGCCCCAGGAGGTATGTGCGGGCTGGGAAGCTCGGACTTCCGGGTTTATGTCTGCGCAGGTGTACGCGCGTGTGTGCCTGTGTGCGTGAGTGCGTGCGTGCGTGCGTGTGTGTGTGTGTGTGTGTGTGTGTGTGTGTGTGTTGGGCAATGTAAGAAGACTACAAGTTCCGAGAAGCAACGCGGCGAGGCCCCAGTCGGGAATGTTTGCGGCTGCGCATCGCGGGCGGGGCCTCTGGGGCGGAGCGGCCACCATCTTGGAACGGGAGGCGGAGCAGAGCCGACTGGGAGCGACCGAGCGGGCAGCCGCTGCCGCCATGAACCCCGAATAGTGAGTGAGCCCCGCCCGCGCCGTCCGGCGCAGCCTCGATCCCGAGTACGGGGCTGTACGCTTACCGGGGTTGTCTGGCCTGGGTCAGGACTGCGCGGCGCCCCCCACATCCGGGTCCCTCTTCCGCTGACCCCCCCCTCACATCCGGGTCCTCCCCCTCCCCCGGGGGCCCCAGGACCCTGGCTGCACACCCCGAGTTCTTGCACCGGGGCCCCAGAGACTGCGACCCCGAGAGGCACCACTTGCAGGTCGAGGGACTGGCCTTACAGGGCCTTACCGGTCAGGTGACCCCGCAGCCCTGGTCTGCCCAGGCCTCAGTTTCCCCACCTGGTTGAAAGTGGCGATCTGGTGGCTGACGACGGCCTCAGCGTTTTGGAGCCGTCACCAGATGGTTCCTGGTCTCGGTTCAGACTCGGGCCCTTTAGGTCGGGCCAGAAATCCTTCTGCTCTACCCATTCTCCCGGAATCCGGTTCTTGGGGCTGGCCCTGGAGCTGGTCAGACTCGAGAGGCCGCTCCGCTCTGGGTAGCTCTCCCGCAGGTCCTCTGCCCCGGGGCTGCTGCTTTGCCCTTTGTCTCAGTCTTGCTGCCCTGCTGCTCCCGGAGGCTAGTCCCTTCCCGCCCTCTCCTCACTTTTGCGCAGGCCCCCGCGCCACCGTCACACCCCTTCCCTTAGCTGTCACATTGCTGATGAAGTTGAAATGAATGTGGTATTTGCTCCCCCCCCCCCTCTAGCGGGATTCTCTTTTCTTCAAACTCTTTTTGGTCACTCCCCCTACGAGGAGGTGGCCCACATCTCTGCCCCAGGCTTCTCATTGACAGTTTTCCCCAAGCGTCAGTTATCTTCTTCCCCTCTGCCACTTCCTTTTTCTCCTCTACATCCAGGCCTCATATTTCCTTGGGGAAGTGTGAGGCTCTGGCTGGAGCATAAGGGGGTTTAGAGAGGGGAACTGACAGCGGCTTTGGAATCGGAACCTCGTTTCTAGCCATAAGGTACTTAGCACAGGGCCAGGCATAAGTAGGAACTCAATACATTTTAACTGCTGTCTGTTATTTTTGCCACCTTCTCTTAGAGGCTACATTCCATGTTCTTTACATAGATATTCACTGAACAGTCTCCAGGTCGGGCCCTGGCTCCCACTTCTGGGGCCGCCCCTGCCAGGCCAGGAGCATCACAGGGCAGTGTAGGGGGGTTCCCTAAATAGGTCCTACTGGACTGGAGACCCTGGAGTCTGTCAAGAATCATGGTAGGATACCCAGCTCTGTCACCTAACTTTTTCAACAAGTCATGCCCTTCCCTATGCCTCAGTTTCCTTTCTGTAAAGTGGGAATCATACGCCTTGGGGCCAACTGTGTTGTGGGGGTAGTCAACTGTCCCCTTCGCCGGGCTTGTGGGAGGAATGCGTGAGCACTTTTGGGCTCTAAACCGAGGCATGCCTCGGAGGGGGGGATGCTGTGCTGTGACCCCAGGATGGTGGCAGGTGGGCGTCCTCCCTTCCTTCATACCTTCCCATCCTTTCTCTCTAGTGACTACCTGTTCAAGCTGCTTTTGATCGGTGACTCGGGCGTGGGCAAGTCATGCCTGCTCCTGCGGTTTGCTGTGAGTAAGAAGCCTCCTGTACCACGCATCTGGGTTTCTGGCCGGTGGCTGGAGGGGAAGGGCCAACCCAGAGCACAGAAGTTGCAAGACCTGGGGGACTAAGGATGAAGTTGCAGGACCTGCCAGCAACACAGCTGGCGGAACAAGGGCACACGGCGGGCTGGGCAAATTGGGAGCAGTTAGGAGCTTTGCTGGGGCAGGAAACTTGAGGGAGGCTTCCTAGGTGGGCCTCCAGCTGCTTCACTCAGGCCGTTTCTCTGGCCCCTTGATCTTCCAGGATGACACATACACAGAGAGCTACATCAGCACCATCGGGGTGGACTTCAAGATCCGAACCATTGAGCTGGATGGGAAAACCATCAAACTGCAGATCGTGAGTGTCCATCTTCCCAAAGTTCCTGGTACAGAGGCACCCTCCCCGGAAGGGGAGGGGCTCTGGGCATGGAGCCCAGGGCTGACCCGCCCTTCCCTCCTACTGTCTCACAGTGGGACACAGCTGGCCAGGAGCGGTTCCGGACCATCACATCCAGCTACTACCGGGGGGCTCACGGCATCATTGTGGTGTATGACGTCACCGACCAGGTACTCCTGGGCTCGCCTTCCCCAGCTTTGCCTTCTCAGCCTCAGGTCTTTGGCTCTGGCCTCTTTTTACTTGTCTCATCCTCTCTCTTCCTGATGTGGCCCTGAAAGGAGACTGGACTTGGACTCATGTCACCAAGAGGGAAACAATGTAGAAATAGATCCTCCCTGCTGCGGGGTCTCGGTAGAGCCAGGCCCTGCCTCTCCCCGCCACGCTCGCCACCCTATTTTAGACCTTCCAGGCACCTGTGTTTTGGGGGAGTGTAGCTGATTGGTTGCTGTGCTGGGCCCATGGCCTCTTGTGCGAAGACGCTGGAGAAGCAATCGGAGAGCCTTCGGCAAGGAAGCAAGGGAGCCCTGTGCTCCGGGCCTGGTGTGAGCAGGGGTCAGGGGCCCTGCGTCTGTGTGGCAGCGTGTCGAGCGTCTTTGACAGCAGTGGTGATGTTAACAACCAGAAGTAGTCCCAGCATGCCTTGTAGTTGACAGAGCCTGTCCTGGTGTCTGGCGCGCCTAACACTGCACGGGAGTCGGCGTTGTGTTCCCATGTCACAGATAAGGTGGGGTAGGGCGGTGAGGAGACTGGCTCAGGGTCCTGCAGAGTCTGCTGACTCTACCTGCTTCGTTCTTTCTGCCAAACCTGGTTGCTTGATGAAGACCGGGCTCTGGGGACGGGGAGACTCTTAGATCGGCTCCGGGCCGGGGGGGAGTCCCTCCTCTGAGGGGCAGGGAGGCTCGTCGGCTCCCCAGGGAAACATGGTGCCTCCTGGCGAGTGATCTGTGTGTGAGCTGTGCTCTACTCAGGCAAAGGTCAGCAGGGGCCTCTAACTGCCAAACCCTGTGACCTCATTTCAGTTCTTGCCCAGACTGACCTCTCGTGGCTCTAACTCCATTCTCTTTCCTCTCCTTGAAAAGTTTGCTCTCTCCAGCTCTCCTAGCTCCTGCTACATTAGATGCTCTTTTCAGTGGCATTTTACTGGGTCATCCTGTACTGACCCCCACAGCCCCATATTTTGTGCTCGCTGCCCCTGCCCCGGACTTCCTCCTGGCTCCCCGCTCAGTTTTGGCCACTTGTGGTTTGGCTTCTGTCTTATTTTCTGTGAGTCCTGCGTCTAAATATCTCTCACTGTAGATCTTCTCTGTGTCCTACGTTTTACTGGCACTTTGTGTCAGTATTAATCGTGATCTTCCCAGTATTACCCAGTGAACTAAGTGGCGGGGTCCCCATTTTTCCTGGTGAGGAGCCATGCCTGGAGCGCGGCTAAGTAACTTGCCCATGGTCTCACAGTCAGGACAGGCAAAGCCATGTTTGAATCCAGTGTACTTTGCTTCCAAGTGCACTCTTTCCTGCTCTTTGCCTCTCCTGAGCTCCGGGCCCTGTGTAGAACTCCGCACGCCCCCATGGCCTCATCCTCTCTCCCTGAGCTGGCTCTTGCATCCCTGTTAGCCTGACCGACCACTCTGCCCTCCCCCATCCCGGCGGCCCCATTCTCTCGCATCCTCTCTCAAATCTGTCTCCTCGTAATAACAGCGGTGAATTAAGCGCTTTTTGTGAGACAGGCCCACATTCATAACTTCATGCTCACAACAGTCCCCCCACCCAGGAGGTACTGTTCTATACAAGTGAGGAAACTGAGGCTCAGGTCAGGTGACATATCTAGGGTCACAGAGTCAATGGCAGAGCGGGGGCTGCACCCAGGAAGGTCTGACTGAAACCTGTGCTCTTCCCTGGCTCAGGACACAGCTTCTCTTCCTGGGGTTATTCCAGGCACCTCCCTGTCAGTCTCCATTTTCTTGCTGCTCTGATCTGGCCTCTACACTCCTTTTTCTTTTTCTTTTAATCCTCACCCAAACACATGCTTACTGATTTTAGAGAGACGGGAGGGGAGGGAGAGCGGGAGATAAACATCGATGGGTTGCTTCTCCTATGTGCCCTGACCTGGACAGAACCTGCAACCCAGGCATGTGCCCTGGCCGGGAATCGAACCCATGACCTTTTGGTTTACGGGACAGTGCTCCAACCAGCCGAGCCACACCGGCCAGGGCTGGCTTCTGCACTCCTGCCAGGACTGTCAAGGATTCCTAGAACTCAGGTGTGCTCCTGCCACTCCCTTCTGTGGAAACCTCCACTGGCTCCTGGTTGCCAAAGACGCATCCGAGCTAAGCCCCTCCGTGCCCTCCGTGCACTGCCCGGCCTCCTCGCCCTTGCTGCCCAGAGCCTGTGTCCCAGCGTCTCTCAGCTTCTGCCCACTCTCCAAAGACATCACACCTCTCGCTTCTGGGGCCTGGCATATGGCGGCTCCTCCCCTTGCCCCTTTCCCCATCCCTTCACTGGCTTTTGCGCAAGGCCGGTTTGCCCCTGCAGGCGTAGGTCAGCGGCCCCTCCCCAGGCTGAAGCAGTCCTGGAGCTCCACAGCTGCTGCCTCTGTCCCTGCAGCGCCCAGCACCCTGGCCTGCCATTGTGTGTGCCCTGGGCTCCTCTGGCCTTTCCCGACTGCTTTAGGGCAGGGCCCAGGTTTGACTCCCTCCTTTGTCCCCAGTGCCCAGCATAGAACCCAGCCTGGAACATGGCAGAAGCTATAAGTTTGAACCCTGGTGATATCTGTCATCAGGCCTCTGGCTCCTAAGAAGGGACAGCAGCACAGCCCTAAATGTCTCGTCCTCTGTCTGCAGGCCCGGGGGGCAAGGGGGGGCAGCTGCCAGCAGAGCCAAGTGAGGAGGCTGTTGGCGCCGGCAGGGGGACAATGTTAGGCTCTGTTCCCAGGATTTCTGTCTCCCTCATAAGCCAGGGTCTCCACTGCCACTGGGCCCTGAGACTTCAAACCTTAAAGGGGACTCAGAGGCCCCTGAGAACTTGGTGATTCCTGCTACCCCGTTACTCTCTGCTTCTGTCTGCCTTCCGGCCTGTCGCTTCTGATGCCATTTGGCCCCACTCCGGTTCCCCCGTAGTTGTGCGGCGAGGAGAGGCGAGCAGCGGCAGGCTCGTAGGCCTAGGTGTTTAGGTGTTGGGGCTGTCGGTGGGCGGAGGGTGGTGTGTGTGGCTGGCCTGGGGCTGGCTTTCGGGGTGTCAGATGGAGGAGGCGGGAAGGAGAGCTGAGCCTGGAGGAGAGCGCTTCCTCTGGGTCCCGGAGTCCAGGGCTCCTGCCTCTCGGGAGCCCAGGGCGGCCCCTGCCCTTCACAGCCCCTGCTCTCCAAGCCTCGGGTAACGTGGGAGTTGGGAGCAAAGTGACTTTGGACACTCGCCCCTTTAGGAATCCTACGCCAACGTGAAGCAGTGGCTACAGGAGATCGACCGCTACGCCAGCGAGAATGTCAATAAGCTCCTGGTGGGCAACAAGAGTGACCTCACCACCAAGAAGGTGGTGGACAACACCACAGCCAAGGTGAGCGGGCCGGGGCCGGGCCTCTGCGGGGGGCGCTGGGCTGGCTGCCGCTCACCGCCCCCCTTCTCCTTTCCCCTGTCAGGAGTTTGCAGACTCTCTGGGCATCCCCTTCCTGGAGACGAGCGCCAAGAATGCCACCAACGTGGAGCAGGCGTTCATGACCATGGCCGCTGAAATCAAAAAGCGGATGGGGCCTGGGGCCGCCTCGGGGGGTGAGCGGCCCAACCTCAAGATCGACAGCACCCCTGTGAAGCAAGCTGGTGGCGGCTGTTGCTAGGAGGGGCACATGGGGCGGGCCAGGAGGGGGCACCTTCTCCGGATGATGCCCCTGGAGGGGGCAGGAAGTGCCTCCCTCTCCTGGGGCATTTGAGTCTGTGGCTTTGGGGTGTCCTGGGCTCCCCATCTCCCTCTGGCCTATCTGCCTGCCGTCCTGAGCCGCGGTCCTGACAGGGCCCCTAAGGGAGGACACCCAGGACCTGTGGCTGGGGTGGGGGCGGGGGCTTGCTCTGCTGCTGCCTCTAGGTAACTTTAAAAGATGCCCCACTGTACACCTTTCTTTGGGATGAGGGCTCCTCTGTCCATCTCCCCCCTCTGCCCCCCGTGTATGCTGCAGTGGGTTTCTCCCCTCATCCTTCTCTCCCCCGCGCACCCCTTCCTTAAGAGCTGAGGGTCTCCCTGGCCTCGGCTGCCTCTGGCTGAAGTCAGCGCCCGGGGCCAGGAATGGGACCAGGACGTCCAGGACCTGGGGTCCAGGGCCCTGGGCCAGACCTCAGGATAGGCATGGGGGCCACAGGAGCCCTGCAGCCCACCCCCCGCCCCCTGCCCACAGTCTCTCCTCCCGTCCCTCCCACACTCACAGCTCCAGCCGTCCAGCTGCTGTGGGGTCTGAGCACATCTCGGGCAGGTGGGCGGGCAGCCGAGCTGGGCCTGTGTCTTGTGCCCAGAGGGAGCCTGCTCCTGCCGCCCCCTGCCCTGCCAGAGCCAGGCCCATGTGCTGCCTGCCCACCGTGCCCCTTTGTCCCCAAGGCAGGCGGAGGTGGAAGGCACACTGTGCCAGAGGCCGGGCACCAGCCTTAACCCTCACGCTGCCGGCACCTCGTCCCTTTCCCTGAGGCAGCACATCTGGCTTCCTCTCCCCCTTCCCTGGAGCTGACGAGGGCAGAGCCTCATCCCCTGTTGCTACTTCTCTGGGGAATACGGATGCTACCCAGGGTTGGGGGGCCTCTGCTCAGCCCCTCCCACCCAGGATCCTGGCCCCTGGCCCTCTGGCACAGCTTCTTCCTGCAAAAAACAAAAAAAAAACCTTTGGTCTCTACCTGAGAAGCCATGTCCCTTGTGCTGTCTCTTGCCTGTCCCACCTGTACCCTGCCTTCCAGCTTGTATTTAAGTCCCTGGGTTGCCCTTTGGGGTGCCCTGCCCACTCCCAGGTTCCCCTCTGGTGTCATGTCAGGCATTTTGCAAGGAAAAGCCACTTGGGGAAAAAAACAGAAAGGACAGAAAAAAATAATAAATTTCCACTGGCCCTCGGATGAGCCGCGGGTTTTTGCAAGGAAGTTGTGGTGGCTGGTTGTGGTCTGTGGTGGGAGCAGCCTGCGGTGGGGGATGGAACTGGAGCCCCGGGTTCGGTGGGCTGCGCAGGGGTCTCGGCTTGGGCTGTGTCCAGAAGTTGCAGTGGAAAGCCCTTGACCCACTTCCTGAAGCTAGGAGCTGCCTGCTGGTGCTTCCATGGTCTGCCCCCAGGGCCCCAGCACGGTTCCGGCGGTGCAGGCGGCCACCAGCAAGTGTCGGGTGAGCGCCAACACCCACACAGGCGCACAGGATGTGAAGTCGGGGAGCAGCCGCGGGCCCCAGACACTGCGCCCCGTTGGGCCTGGCCCACATACCTCCAGCCCTCTGGTTCGCCCCCTTCTCTTGGCTGCACTGGGTTCAGGCCAGCTGTTTCTGCCCTCTCGGACAGTGACAAATGCTTCGCACCTAAGACCTCTTGCTAGGTCCTCCTGGCTGGGTGAGGCCGCTAAGTGAGAGCAGGGTTGTGTGTACTGGTCTGAGTGGACCTAGTGTGATTGCGGCTGTGGTGGCTTCATTGTGTGACACGGTGGGTGGAGGGGCGGGCATGCCTACGTGTCCATGAGATTGGAGGAGGGGGCGGTTACGCCCCACCCCGGCCAGGTCGGGGCAGGCGGCGGGCTCACGGAAACCCAGCCCCGCCCGAGGCCGTTCGCACGGCGGTCCCGCCCCAGGCTCCGCCCCGCCGGCTTCGCGGGCTGGAGAGAGGGATCCGCGGGCGAGGGATCGCAGGATGAGCGATCGGGGCCCGGGCAGTCGGCAGCGGACGCGCCGCCCGAGCCCACCGGCCCGTGCCCCGCGGCCCCGCGGCCCCGGTCCCGGACACGCCAGCAGCGTCTCCCGAACCCGCGCCCGAGCCCTGAGGGCCATGCCCGGCCGGCCCTAAGTGCGGGCCGGCGGGGGGGCGTCCCCTTGCGCCCGGGCCCCGCGCTGGCGCCCCCCGGGCTGCCGCCCGGTGCAGGGGCCATGGCGTTCACCTTCGCCGCGTTCTGCTACATGCTCACCCTGGTGCTGTGCGCCTCCCTCATCTTCTTTGTCATCTGGCACGTAAGGCTGGGGCTGGGGGCGGGGTGGGGGGCAGGGGGCTCACGGAGCGGGAGGGGACCAGGCGGATGACGGTCTTAGGGCCCAGGGAAACTTGGAGACTCCTCTCCGCTCGCCCCCATCGCCCGGCTTTTGTTGGCCCCCATTAACATCCCCATCGTCGGCTCCCAGGAGGCCCCCCCTGCCTCCGCTGCCCCCGCCTCGGTGTCGGTATGTTAGTCGGTCCCTTACTCCCTTCCCCTGCCCCGAGCTGGCCTGGGTTGTGTGGGGGGGGAATTTTGGGATTCCTGCCTCTTTCTACATACCACCCCACCCCCCCCAACCATCTAGTTGCCCCCGTTTCTGTTGGGCAGTTTGTCTGTCTGCTCCCTCCTCCTTTGTGGGTTTTTCCAGCTGGAGTGATGGAGCTGGTTACTATGGCAACTGCATCTGTTTACAGGACCCACAGATCGAGGAGCCCATTAACCCTTTCCCTCTCCACCCCCTTCCGTGACCCAGCAGTGATTGGCTCTAAGTGGCCCGGAGACGTGGCCCCCCACCAGCTCACCTGGGGTTTCCCTGCCTCTCCTGTCAGGGTTTCCCCCACCAGGCTCCCTCCCCACTTCGCAGCTCCCCTCTCCTTCCTGCCCCCCCTTCCCCCTTTGTCTGGTGTTCCTTTTGGTCTGTCTGTCACTCTGGCCTGGCCTCACACCTGGCCCCCCAGCATCTCCGTTCCTCACCGCTTCATCCAACCTCCCCGTTCTCTCTCCGGGGCCCTCCGCAGTGCCCCTGCCTGGCTCCCTCCCTGCTGCTACAGAACTATCCGGCCGCCTTCAGCTCGCTGTTTGGGGCCTTTGGTCCCCCTTTGCTGCCTCCCTCCTCTGTCCTTCCTCGACCCCCACCTGATCGCCTCCACACAGCGGGCGCATCTCCCCCCCTTGGACCTGGCCCACTCAGCTGGCCGTCAGCTTCCAGTACGCACCGTTCGGATCCCCCTCCGGTGGGGGTCAGCCCTTTACCCCTCTTCCTGCCTTCCTTCCCTCCTCCCTCCCTCCGTCCCTCCCTTCCTTCTCACTTCCTTCCCATTGCCTCATCTGCTCCTTTCCTGGTCTCCCCACTTCCTCTCTCCTTTCTTTTCCTGGGACGAGCCGCCTGCCTGCTTGGCGGTCCTCCCCAGCTCTTGACCAGCCTCTCCCTCCGCTGTCCCCTGCTGCCTGCCTCTCACATCAGGACTCCACGGACCGGACCAGCTCCTGTGAGTGTGGCCTGAGCCCCCACAGGCGCCTTCACCTCCCCACCTCCGGCTCTCTCTCCCTGGCTTTGTCTTCCTCTTTGGGTCTCTCAGTCGCTTTTTCTTTTCTCTCTCCTTCTCTGTTCCCTTTCCTTCCCTCCATTCCCGCTGGGTCCATCTGGATCTCTCTGAAACTCCTATCTCATCTGGGCCTTGGGCGGCCTGTGGGGTGGGAGCAGGAGGGCTGGAGTCCTGAGGACGGGAAGGGCTTGAGGCTGGGAACACAGAGCTAACCAGCTCCTGTGAGAAAGGCTCCTGGCATTCAAGAAGCCCCTCCACACCCAGAGGCCTCCCACAGCCCCTCCTGGGGGTGCAGCTCTGTCCTTAGGGGGTCCGCACAGAAGTCCTCCATCTAACTTTCTTGTATCCATGCTTCCTGAGAATCAGCTCTGGGTGGCTTTGGGGAAATCAGGGATGAAAAAGACTCATGCTTTGCCCTCCCGGCATTCCCAAACTGGGAGGAAGGGCCCCAGCTTTCTCAACAAATATTTACTGAGCACCTACTACAAGTCAGACACTGTGGCTCAGCTCTCCAGCTGGGCGATTGTAGCTCACCCAGTTGTTTCATCATCGGTAAAATGGGCTCGCGGCGTGTACATCACCCAGCAGGGCCGGCTCAGGGGACGGGGTGGGGACAGGAGGTGTGCTCCTCAATCCAAGTCAGTAAGAACTAGAACCTTCTAGGGCAGGACCCCAGATCCCACCTCACACCCTGAGCCCCAGCCCACTGGTCGCTAGGCAACCCTGATGGTGAGTGACGCGTGTCAGCTGTCACTGTGGGGGATTGTTTGTTCCAGGGGGCTGAGTCAGCGCCCGGCAGCCTGGGGGGTGGGAGGTGAGACACCCGCCTCCTGCTGTGGTACCAGCTCTGGGGCAGACAGACAGCACCCTTCTATTCCCTGCTGGGCCCTGTTGCTGTGCCTGGCAGGCAGGTGGCTGCCCAGCGTCAACAGGGAGTTGGGGCTGCTGCTCCAGATGGCCCCAGCTCCCTCCAGGAAGCCCATGTTCTCTCCCTCCCGGCCGTCTGGGGTCTGGGCTGCTCGGATGTGGTGGGCCTGCTGCCTCATCCCAGGGCTGCCGCTGAGGGGAGGGGACCCCAGAAGGCTCCTCTGCCGGCCCTCCTCCCATGCCAGCTCCCTCTCAGGCCTGTCCAATCACCTCCTTGAACACCTCCCCCCTCCAGTTCCCCTCGTCAGCGAGGATGCTGCCCCACGGGTGCTCCAGCTCCTTAAGGCACCTTGGGCCCCTCTGCCTCCGCTCTGCTGCTGTTCAGCCCTCCAGAGCCTGGCTTCTAAATAGCTCCAGTCCATCGCACCTCCACACCCATGCCGCTCCGTCTTCACTCAGGTCACCATCAACGCCAGACGCTCCGCCGGCCCCTCAGCGGTCTGAGTGATCTAGAGTGTGAACCAGAACGCTGGCGTGCCGCCAACGAGCCGTGTGGCCTTGGACTCCTCACTTAACCTCTCCCAGTTTCCTCATTTGCAAAATGGAAATGGTAATACCAGTACCTACATCATGAGGCTGTCACAAGCATTAAATGAGTTCAGAAATATACAGGCTACTGATGTAGAGGATGCATCGTACACATCTTGGCCGGAAAGGTCGGCCAGTTTGTACTTCTTGATCCATCAGCCCTAAAACGTTGACCTGACCGCCCCACTCTGGGGCATCCTTCTCCTCGGTGACTCCTCATTATTTGTATGGTAAAGTCCAAACAACTAGCAACTGACCCGGTGTCACAGGGAACCCCTGGCTGGCTCTGTGGGCCTCCCCAGCCCGTCTTTCACCGTTTTCTCCTCTCTTCCCACTCACCTCGCAGTTTCATTCTAGCCCCATGGAACCTGCAGCTTCCTGAATATTCTTTCAGCCCCCTGCCTTTGACCCTGCTGTTCCTGCTCCTCAGACTGCCCCACACCCCTGCGCATTTGTCCACCAAACTCCTATTCAGAGCCCAGCCGGAACCCAACATCACCCGCTCGCTGGGTCAGGCACCCACTTCAGGTCCTCCCTGCACCCTGCTGCCCTGAGCACCCTGGAATGCAGTCACAGTTCTCCCAAGCCTAGGGTTCTGCCCGGGCAGGGGCCTCGTCCCAGGCCTCTGGGGTCCCCGTGTTCAGCACAGGGCTTGGCAGAGAAGACACCATCTCTTGGGGCGTTTTGGATGGAGAATTGTGGACATTGCCTGACTTGGGCATCGCTAGGGTTCGTGCCAAACTATTGTGTGACCTTGGGCCAGGACCCGCCCCTCCCTGGGCCTCAGTTTCTCCACGTTTGCAGCAAGCTCCATCTGCTCTGGTCTCCGTGTATTAATTACTATCCCACAGAAGGTCAGGTGCGGGGCCATAAGCTGCTGCCCCAACCCTGACAGGCGCACACCCCTCCCCAGATCATAGCCTTCGACGAGCTGCGGACTGACTTCAAGAACCCCATCGACCAGGGGAACCCAGCGCGGGCAGTAAGTGATACATGTGCTGTGCCGAGGTGTGTCCGTCCGTCTGTCTTTGCATTTGTTGCGGGATAAGGGAGGGTAGGGAACTGGAAGACGGGTGTGTGTGGAGGGGGAGGGGGACTGGGGGCTTTGCCCCTTCCTCTGTCTGTCCCCACCCCCAGAAAACACCTGGCGCGGGCTCCAGGCTCGGGATCCTCCTGGCGGGGCAGCCGTTGCCAGGCTCTGGGCTGTTGCCATGGAGACGCGGGTGAAGGTCCTCCGTGGCGACGGTTGTCATGGGGACGGTGGGGCTGCTTCCCCGCTGCTCTGACAGCGCGGCAGACTGCTCTGGTTCCCCCTGGTGGCCACGTGCAGGACAGTGGCGGGAGCAAGAGAGGGTGGAGGGGCATCCCCAACGCCTCCCACCGCATCGCGGCTTTTTCTTCCCCCTACAGCGCGAGCGTTTAAAAAACATCGAACGCATCTGCTGCCTCCTGAGGAAGGTCAGTTTCAGGGCTGGTGGCAGGCGGCTCCTAGCCCAACCCCAGTGGCCTGCCCGCTCTGGAGCTTGATTGGCTCAGCTACCTGGGAGGGAGTGGGAGGCTAGAGGCCCTTTCAGTTCCCAGGGTTCCGGGTGGGTGGGCCGCTCCAAATCCCAGCTCCCCTCTGTGCCCCTGAAGCTTGGGTCTGTCCAGGCACCAGGCCACTGACCTCTTACCCTCCCTCCCCAGCTGGTGGTCCCCGAATACTCCATCCACGGCCTCTTCTGTCTGATGTTTCTGTGTGCAGCAGAGTGGGTGACCCTGGGCCTCAACATCCCCCTCCTCTTCTACCACCTCTGGAGGTGAGGGGAGCAGCCGCTCGGGGAGGGCGCGGGGCGGGAGCAGGGGCAGGCGGGGCGGGAGCCCTGAGCAGGGGGCACTCAGGCCCCTCCCTGGCCACAGGTACTTCCACCGCCCTGCGGATGGCTCTGAGGTCATGTATGACGCGGTCTCCATCATGAACGCTGACATCCTCAACTACTGCCAGAAGGAGTCCTGGTGCAAACTCGCCTTCTACCTGCTCTCCTTCTTCTATTACCTGTACAGGTGAGCCCTGCCCAGAGCAGTCCAGCCAGGGAAGGGGTGCTCCACGCCCCACGCCTGTCACTCCCAGGAATGGTTGGGGCCCAGGTTCCTGCCCTTTGCCCTTGAGGACTGAGAGCAACCCGGGGTGACAGGGTGGGCAGCCAGTAGCTGGGCCTGCCCAGGACTCGGCTTACGGCTTCGCCTCGTCTTCCCGCAGTATGGTTTATACGCTGGTGAGTTTCTGAGGGGGAAGCCGGCCAGGGAGCAAGCCCAGAACGGACCGGACGCCTGTGCACCCCCAGCCCTGCCCCTCGGCCGCAGAGGCCTCAGCCCTGGGGAGGGAGGGGGCACTGGTGCCCCCAGCCTCCTCTCCACCCCCCCAAACTGCTGCTGCGGGGATCTCCCGCCTTCAGAGCCCCCTCCCCTTGGACCAGGGCGGGGTAGAGCTCTAAACAGGGGCAGGAGCTCCTCTGCCAGCCTGTTGGCATGGCAGTCTGTCCTGGAAGGGGCGGAACCTCTGGCCTTGTCCACTTCGGGGGGACCTTGGGCCCTGCCGAGGGGCAGGGCTTGACCCTGGAAGTTCTGGGCCACCCCCATCGACCCCCACCCTGAGGCTCCCCCTGCAGGTGGGGGGGTACCCACACCCAGAATGAGCAGGCTCAGCAGGGGGACAGCCCCACTCCTAGTCTGCCCTCTCCCCTCCCCCAGGTTCTCTCTTCAGACCCCTTCCCGTCCCCACTTGCCCCCACCCCAGTCCACCCTGTCTCTTGGACCTATTTTCTATGTTGCCTGGAGGAGTCCGCACCCCCTCCCTGGCCATTTGTGACAAAATATGAATAAACTACTGCAAACATGTGGGCCCCAGTTCTGCTCCTGAAAGGCTTGAAGAGGAGATGGGGCAAAGGGACTGTGTAAGGGACACCCTGAGCTAGTAAGCCCCAGCACAGCTAGGCTCACACCGCCAGCCCACAGACCCCTCTGGGGACCCCCTCAGAGGGATCAGAGGCCTCCAAGGTCCTGGCAGCCGCCCCTCCATCAGCAGCCCCCAGACACAGCCGTTCCTAATGGAACCCTTCCAGCTGCCTTCAAGGCAGTGTCCCCTCCCGGTCACCCACTTGAGAGCCCTCCCGGGGTGCCCCTGCTTCTGGACAGCCCCAAGCCTGTTCCCCGAGCAGTGCAGGGGCCCAGAGGCGCCAGCAGCTCCCCTCAGGCCCCAGAAGCAAGGCACACACAAAATCAAGGAAATCAAATCTTCAATGTATGGAAAAGTCAGTGCCAGCGGGGGCCAGGGGTCACCGGACCAGGTGGAAGGTCAGCCAGTAAATGATGAGGGGCTGGAAGGCGGCTGCTCCCAGAGTCAGGTAGAGCTGGAGCTGCTGCCGAGGGGCGGGGCCCCCCATGCTGTCGGGACCCAGGGTCGCTGTTCGCAGAGAGCGCACCTGGAAGAAAGCAGAGCTGGAGCAGAGCTGGGGGCGCGGGGAGAGGGGGAGGCGCGGCCCAGCTCCAACCCGGGAAGAGCAGGCAGGGGGCAGCCCACACTCACAATGAAGTACATGAGCGCAGACGAAGTCCAGGCCAGTGCCACGTAGTAGCCATCACTGCCGAAGAGCAGCCCTGTGAGCACACTGAGGATCATCCTGCAGGGGGCGGGCATGAGGAAAGGGCTGGAGACCACCCCGCCCCCAGAGCCTAGCACAGACCCTGCCCACCACCACCCAGGACCTTCTGCCCCCACAGGGACCTCGACTCCAAATGAACCTGGAAGGTGCAGGACGGGGACTGAGACCCCTTTCACTACCCCAGCTCGAGGCCCTTCTCCCCCACACTCCCCCGTGACCACATTCCTGACCTCCTGACACCCCACAGTTCCTGAGACTGCCCCATACAGCTGGCTCCTCTGCTGGAGCCGAGGTCAAGTGGGGGGCAGAGGCACGTCCAGGGTCACCTTCCAGGCTACGCCTATGCAGGCCAGGAGCGTGGCGCTACAGACCCCCTCCCCAAGGCCAGCCTCCCACCTGGCTCCCCGCTGCTCACCCGACATATTTGTAGCCGCTGTAGGCCAGCAGGTGGAAGGTGCTCAGGTCACTGCGCACGGTGGCCAGGTAGACGCCCAGGAGCAGGGCCAGCACCTCCAGCACGACCCACACCAGTGCTGTGCTTGCACACAGGCCCAGCACCTCTGGGGAGAACCTGTGGCCATGTGGGGGTGGGCGGGGGGCTGAGAGCCAGCCGTCCCGTACAGGGCTGAGCCTGGGGGCGGGGAGTGAGACCTGGCGCAGCTCCCCTGGGGACTGGGAAGAGAGGGGATGAGAGGGGCTTGGACTGACCTTTTCTGAATGCCCAGTGCCATCCCAGCCAGCAACACATAGGTGATGAAGGCCATTGCTGCCAAGAGCCAGAGAGATGCCGTCAGCCTGGTTTCCTCAACCTGAGCCCCCTGCCCCTGCCAGTCGTGGGAGGCCACTGACCTCCCCCACCCCACCCCCCCGCCCGCCATCTCTCCTCATACTTCCTTCCCTGCGTGTCCCAACCTGGCCAGCCTTCACTCAGCCCACAGTGTCCTGCCTGGGATGCCTTGCCCAGCCCAACCCACGCCCCTGTGTAAATGCCACCTGGCCCTTCTCCCAGGACCTCCAGGCCACCTGCCTTGCTGTCCCTGTGCTAGGAAATTCACCAAAATGTCCTGCTGTATCCTAGAACCTACATCATTGGTCAAGGTCATTGCTCATCCTTGACCCACAGGCAGGGCCAAACTGACCTCAGGAAAGACTGTAGGCCCAAAGCGCAGGCTGGGCAGACTCTCCAGGCTGCCCCTGGAGTCCAGACTGTGGGGGTGGCCTCACTGCAGCTGGAAGTTCTAAGTCCGGGCCCTCGTGCTAGCTGCCCCCTTGGCAACCCTGCCAATGCAGTGGCCTCCATGTTTAACTGTTCTCACAAAAGCTCAGAGCCCGTGGGAGCTGGGCTTTCACAGCCTGAGCTGGTCAGTCCTGTCCTCTGCCCGGCTGAAGCACCAGAACTGATGTGCCCACCAGGGGGCAGTAAGGAAACCAGCTCCACCACCCACAAGCTGTGCCAGTCTCTCAGTCTTGACTTCACCACATGAGGTGAGAATGGAGCTCCCACCTTACGCGATGGTACTAAGAGGGAGATAGAACAAAGGATTGAAGAACCTGTGTCCCTCCTGGGGCAACCAGGCTGGCTCGCTGCCCTCCCAGCAGCTTCTCTGAAGACTGGCCTGGTCCTTGCCTTGTGCAGGCCACACAACAGAGAGGAGTCAGACACAGAGTCTGCCAGCCACCGCAGAGAGCAGGCAGTCTGACCTGTGCCCTGTGGGCAGGCAGCTTGGGAACTTAGAAGGGAGGGATGTTTGCGCAGGCCTTGGGGAGCAAGTCAACGATAACTACTATTTGCTGCGTGCTCCTATGGGCCAGGCGCTGTGCCGAGAGCACATCACCTTACTGAGTCTCCACAACAATCCTTTGCCGTAGGGGTTGTTGTTACTCCCGTTTTATAGGAGAGTGACAGTAGCCAGCTAGGGCCCCACAGCTGGAGGGCGCAGGGCCAGGTCCGAAGCTAACGCTCCAGGCTGGGGAGGAACACAGCCCAAGTCAGGAGGCAGGAAGGAGTCAAAAGGGTGTACCCAGAGGTCACTGCAGGCACAAACAGGAAGCTCCTTACTGGTTCCCCCACTGTCTACCTGGTAGCTAGTAACTGCCATACACAAAAGCGCCAAGAGTAGATGCTATATCAGCACATGAGCATCTCTCCGTTGGTGTCTCAGGACACAAGTCCCCCCACACACCCTAGCCCGGGTCAGACTCACTGGGAATATAGAGGTCAGGGGCGTTGAGGTCTTGTCGCGGGGGCAGAGGGACATCACGACTGTACTGCACTTCCCAGTTCTGGCAATGGCAGCACCAGACAGGTCAGGAGGAAAAGACAAGAGAGGAAAGAAGGGGGTTGAGGTCTAGGGGCCAGACTCTGGGGCAGGATGAGGGAGGCAGGGGGGCCACCGGCTCACCTGGTGTGTATAGGGGAAGACCAGTAGCCCTAGCTTCTTGGCCACATAGGCTGTGTCCACGGCGAAAAAATACTTGAGTTTGTTCACAGACACAAAACGGTGCAGCTGGGAGGGGAGAGGGGAGGCTGCTGTGGGCAAGGTGCACCCTGAACCACAGGGTGCTCTTCTGTGTGCTCCTTCCCTGAGGATTAGGTGGGATCCCATGACGCCCCAGCCCTGGCCAGAAATCCTGCCACCCTTGCCCGGGGGAGGGCCACACCTCCTTGTGCACCATGTCCTTCCCATGGGATGCGATGGAGCTGCCATAGGCCATAGCCATGTTGGCCATTGGGTCTCCAAGCAAGTGGTTGACATTGAAGGCTACGTCGGCTCCTGGGGCTGGGTATCCCCCTGGCTGGCTGGAGTAACCACTGCTTGTGTCATCGAAGAGGGGAGGGGGGTCTGGAGCTGCCCGGGCCCTGTGCTTGGAGCCTGTGGGTTTGTAGGTACCAGAGTAGGGGACAGGAAAGTAAGCATGAGCCCAAACCACCGTCTCTTCCCCAGGGCTCCTTTTCCAGAGGTGCTAAATGTAGGCAAAGAAAGCTGAGGCAGCGCCTGGAAGTGGCTGCCCACCTGGGGATTGCTGGGGGCCTTCTCAAGGGAAGTGATCTCTGAACTGAGCTTTGGAGAGTGAGTAGAAGTTTGCTAGGTGGAAAAGATCATTGCGAAGGCATCCCCAAATGAACAAAGGTGGGAACGGCGACAGCGAGGTACCCGAAGACCCTGGACAGTGGTCAGGGACCCTACTAAGGTCATCAAAGAGAAAGGAAGTTCTGCAGGCGAGCTCCGTTCGTGCCCGGGTTGGGCACGGGGATCCCAACTGTGCTGTCACCGCCCGATCTTAGGTTTGAGTCGAGAGGGCGAAGTCCGGGACGCGTGGCCAAGTCGCGCCGGGCAAAAACCTGAATGACAACCGCCGCCCTAGGCTGCGGTCACGGCCGCCCCTTTCCCTCAGGGTGAGCGGGCCGTGCCGCCGACCCTTCTCAGGCGGGTCGGGCCGCGCCCCGCCCGCCCCACGCACCGTGAGCTCCGTAGCCCGAATGATAAGCCATGGCGGTGACGCTCGCTCTGTCTCTCGGAGGACCCGCTGCGCCGCCTCGTGGGTACGAGCACTAATGAGGGAGCCGCTCCGCTCGCTGGGCGCCGACCAGTGTTACGGAGTAGCCAGACACGTCCCCGGACCCCGCTACCGCCGCTGCCATGTCTGTAGCGTCATCCTACGCCACCTGCCATTGGCTCCTCCGTGGCGTCAACTCGTCCCAATTGGCTACTGGCGCTCCATCGCAGAAGTGGATTTGGCAATAGTCGACTTCCGGGAGGGAGGATAGGCGGAGCAATTTGAGGCGCTCTCGGATTGGATGGTGGATTTGTTGGTTCGGCGGAAGCCGCCAATAGATAGGTTAAGGTAGAAGGGTGCTGTGAGTTACTTCCGCGCCTGCGCAGTGGGGTACTTGATGCTTGTGCCACGACTACAGCAGGCGGACAGCAGGCGGAGACCGGGCGCACGCAAGCTGCGGCTGCGGTCCGGGAACCAAGCTTCATTCGCGGCGCGTACTCCAGGAGGGACGGGGGCGGTGGTGCTCTGACCAAGCCCCGCCCCTCTGGTCTTTTGCCCTTCCTTCTCAAGGCTCGCTCTCCCTCCCCGTCTCCTACATTCCTCAAGTCCTGGCCTGAAGCCCAGGCTGCCCGGAAGGTTTTGGTACGAGCCCGGGCCGGACTTGTGACAGTGTAACTAAGTGACTTCCAAGATGCTGACTCCTCCTCGCGCCTCCCACCTCTCCTTTCCGCGCGGGTGCTGTCCGGAGTCCGGTGCTGAAATACTCTACCGCCACTGCCGCCATCCCGCAGACCCCTAGGGCCTGCTGCTGGAAGGTCCTGGGCTCTCGATCCACACAAACACCATTACACGTTTTGAAAAACTGGAGTCCAGAATATCTGAAGTCCCAGAAATTGTGTGGTATAGTTAGGATAGGATCCGGACCAAGGCTTCTCCCATGGTCCAGAGGATTTGAGGGTAGAGAGATATGCTGATTCGCCTCTGAAGCTGCGGTTGAAACACCTGAGTCATTGCTGGTCCTGCGGTCATCTCGAAGTGAGGTCCCCCAAGCCTCACTTTTCTCTCCCCCCAGTTTCTGACCTCTCTCGCCCTCCCCAGAGACAGTCCCCAGGGGCCAATCTTCTCATTTACCTTCAGACACCACTTTCTAAAGAGCAAGATCAGGTCCTCTGTGACCTGCCTCTAGTCAGCTACCCAGTTTCTAGTTACACCAAGTGACCTTCCTGCTCTCCAGACTCAACCCACGTGGTCCAATCTCAGTGCCTTTGCCCAGAAATCCCCGCCACCTGGGATGCCCTTCTCCTTCATATCCATTTGTCCAAAGTGTAGCTATCCTTTAAGAGTCAGTTCAGTGTGTGCCTCTCAGACACAGGGAACAGCGGCCTAACCTGGCTTGGCGTGGAGGCTGATAGCCACGTTCTAGGCTCCCTCTGGGCACCCCAGTTTGCCCTGGATGTAACTTCCACAAGGACAGGGCTGCTGCCATTCTCCACTCCTTCTCTCCACAGTGCCAAGCACAGTATTTGCATATAGGAGACACCCGATAAACATCTGTGCCAATACATAAAGAATGAATGGACGAAACTGTGGGTCAGTCCTTTTCTCTTTCTACCATTTCAGTCATCTCATCTTTAAATGTGCAGAGGTGTTGAAACGAATGGTCTTTGAGTAGCCCTTTTTGGGGGAGAAAACGCAAAACAAAACCCTCCAGTATTGTAGCTCCCTCCCTATGTTCCATCCACTGACTGTCTAGCTTGGGACCTAAGCCCCAGACCAGGGACAGGTGTGAGGCCCCTGAGGGCCAGAGAACAGCACTGGGGCCACGGGTACCTGGGATGGGTCCTCCTATGCAGGACAGTTCCTCCCTGCCCCCCCCCCCACCGCCATGATGAATGTTTGTGCACTGATTGTATCTAGCACCTTTCCATCCCCATTCCTCAGGTGGGATAACTGAGGTTGCGGATGGAGAGTGACCACCGAAGCTCACACAGCCTCGGGCCCTGGGTTTCCTGGCCCCAGCCTCCCGGCTCTAACTGGAACTCAGAGCCGTGTCGAGCTAAGGAAGCTCGTTACATCTTTCTCGGCTGCAACTGACTCCTATCCTACAAGCGAGGCTTCCTGGGCGAGGTCTGGGTGGGCATAGGCTTGGGCCTGCTTCTCAGAAGTACCCACACACCTTCGAGATTTCTTTTCACAGCGAGAGAAACTCGGGCCCCAGAGAGCAAAGTCTCGCCCAAGCGCAAGGGCAGCAGGAGGGGAACCCAGGAGTCTGTTCGTCCAGCCTGGGCTTCTTGGGGGCGGGGGCAGCGCTCGCGGTACCAGGCGCTGCCGGCGGCGCCGCCGGTGCCGCGGGGGCGGGGTCAGCAGCGGGCGGGGCGCCGGGCACCGAGGCCGCCAACGCCGCCGCCGCCGCCGCGCTCGGGCGAGCTCGGCGCACTCCCTCCGCGGCCGCCGAGCCGAGCGGACGCCCTCCGGGGCCGTGCCGCAGCCCTCCGCTCTCCCTCCTATCATGCCCGGGGCCCGGGCCTGGGCCGCCCAAGCAGCCAGGACACCATGCCCGAGGGCGGCGATGGCGACGGCGGGGAGGTGCCCGCGCTCATCCCGGACGGCGAGCCGCTGCGGGAAGAGGTACTGTTTTTGAGTGGCTGTGGGGGTCCTCGAGCCGGGGCCGGAGAGGGAAAGGGGGACAAGGGAAGGGGCGAATCCCAGGATGGAGGCTAAGGTGGGAAGTCCCGGAGCCCCTGCGGCCAATGACGTCATTGAGGTAGCCTGCTTCCTGCGAGGGGTCCCGGGGGCCTAGGGACCCGCGTGGGTGCAGGGATGGGGCAGCTGGGAAGGGATGTAGGGGGCGACTCCCGGTCCCCGCTCCCCCTCGTCCATCCTCTCCCTCTTGTGACGTCAGCGCCTGGCCCCTAGCGTCCCCATTCCGCTGCGCTGCCCCTCTCCCCCAGAGCCCTGGGGTCAGGCCCCTGAGCCTGCCCTAGAAGCTCACAAGGTGCCCGGGTGGAGCCTGCAATGCAGCTGCAGTGGCTGGGACTTGGGTGGGGGGGTAGTGGAGGGAGGAGGGGAAAGAGGAAGGGTGGAGGCCTCTGGTACCCCTGCTCCCTCTCCCTGCTCTGAGGCCCTAGGGCCCATCCTGCTGGTTGGGACCCCCAGGACAGCCCCTCCTCAGTCCTAGCTATGAATAGGATCTACAGGGATGTGGGGCCCAGTGCGAGGCGTTGGGGGGATAAGTGGTGAGTGGATCCATGTGTGTGTTTGGGTGAATGGAGTGTGCTCGTGGGTGCGCAAATGCTGCTCCACGCTCCCCACACCTTGGATGGGAAATATGTATGCGCTCAAGTCAGGTGGGTCTGATGGGTCCCTTGGCCTGGGTAAAGTGGTCATGTGTGCATGCATGTGAGCGTTCTGTCGAGGGTGGGCCTCTCCTGTAGAGCCCGTTGGGTGTGGGTGTCGGGTTGCAGTAGGGGTGGGGTGGAGGGTGTGCCCTGTGGTCAGGTGAGGGTCTGGTGCATTGGAAGTGTAATGTGTGTGCCCTGGGGGTGTGCGTGTGCACATGCATCTGCACACAGTGTATGGTGTGGGGACAGGTGGCTGTGCCCTGGGCGCAGGTGAGGGTCTGGTGTGTCTCCGATGAACAGGCAGCATACACAGCTGCGGCGGGTGGGTCTGTGACCTACAGGTGGGGCGAAGGTGTGCGGAGGAGCGGCGTGCGCATCTGACGGGCCCAGCAGCTCAGGGCGATGTGCACCTGTGGTGGGTGGGGTGATGTGGGGGACAGGCAGGCTGCCCTGGGCTGGGATGGGGGTGGTTCCTTTCCTCTTGGGTCTCTCAAGGCCTGGCGGGGCTAGTATGGGAGAGGTGACCCGGAAGCCCCGCCTTTGCTATTTCCGCCAGACCACCTCGCCCTTCTCCTCTTTCCCCCTCTTCCCGCTGCCTCTGCCCTTCTCTGTCCACAGGCACCTTGGGGGTGAGGTGGAGGACAGGCTGGCAGCCCTGCTAGGAAGGGCGAGCCAAGCCCCCGGGCCAGGCAGGAGCCCTGGCGGCCCAGCAGCTGTGTCCCGCCCCCTCCTCCAACACAGATGGGGAGTGGAGGCCGGCACTCCGTCTGCTCCCCCCAGGCTCACACCTCCCTCGTTCCTTTTCTTCCTTTTTCTCACTTCCTTAAAAAAACCTCTCCCAAGTCTCCTGCTGTCCCCAGCAGAACTCAGGGTAACAGTAATAATATTTATTCCCATGGCCAGACCCCGTGCTGAGATCTTCACACATGATCTCGTTGAATCCTCTCAACAACCCCAGTTTACAGATGAGGAAACTGAGGTCCAGAGAGGATGAGGGACCTGCCCAAGTCATACAGTAAGTGGTGGAGCCAGATCTGGATCCTGGGCAGTCGGGCTCCAAAGCCCGCACCCTTTATACTCTAAGACCCCCGCCACCCTGTCCTCCCACACCGCCAGGTCCAGGAATTGAGGCCCAGAGAGGGCAGGGATGTGACCAGGACCACACAGCAAGTTTGGGGCAGAGCCGGGACCAGAACTCAGTTTTCTCAGTGGTCGGGGGTTCTGCCTTCTCTTGGCAGAGACGGGCCTGTTTTGTCCTAGATGCCCTTCACTGGGAAATGACAGGGCACAGCGGAGGACAGACTTGGGGCAGACTGGCCCAAGTTTGGATCCTGCATCCCTACTGTGAGTTCACTAGGAGGGTGGGGCCTGGAGTGTGATGTTCAGTCTCGCAGGGCCTCAGGTTCCCACCTGTAGAGCAGGGAGTGCAGCACCGCCTCCTGCCCTGGGCTCCAGCGCAGTGGCAGGCACAAGTGATGGCCGGTCCTGAGCTCACCTCCCTCTCTGCCCGCCCTGCAGCAGCGGCCCCTGAAACAGTCCCTGGGAAGCTCCCTGTGCCACGAGTCGAACTGGAAGTGCCTGCTCCTCACGCTGCTCATCCACGCCTGTGGTGCCGTGGTGGCCTGGTGTCGGCTGGCTACGGTGCCCCGGCTGGTCCTGGGGCCCGAGGCAGCCCTGGCCCGTGGGGCCGGGGCCCCGCCGCCCACCTACCCAGCCAGCCCCTGCTCCGACGGCTATCTGTACATCCCACTGGCCTTTGTCTCCCTCCTCTACCTCCTCTACCTGGCTGAGTGCTGGCACTGTCACGTGCGGTCATGCCAGGCGCCGCGCACTGACGCCAATACCGTGCTTGCTCTGATCCACCGGCTGCAGCAGGCGCCACCCTGTGTCTGGTGGAAGGCCACCAGCTACCACTACGTGCGGCGCACCCGCCAGATCACCCGCTACCGGAACGGCGACGCCTACACCACCACGCAGGTCTACCACGAGAGGGCTGATAGTCGCACGGCGCGGGGGGAGTTTGACTACTCAGCCCACGGCGTCCGTGATGTCTCCAAGGAGCTCGTGGGCCTGTCTGACCATGCGGCCACGCGGCTGCGCTTCACCAAGTGCTTCAGCTTCGGCAGCGCCGAGGCCGAGGCTTCATACCTCACCCAGAGGGCCCGCTTCTTCGGCGCCAACGAGGGCCTGGACGACTACCTGGAGGCCCGTGAGGGCATGCACCTGAAGGATGTGGACTTCCGCGACTCCCTCATGGTCTTCGCTGACCCTCACAGCCCACCCTGGTATGCCCGTGCCTGGGTCTTCTGGCTGGTGTCGGCAGCCACGCTGTCCTGGCCCCTGCGCGTGGTGGCAGCCTATGGCACTGCCCACGTGCACTACCAGGTGGAGAAGCTGTTTGGCGCCAGCTCGCCCCCACCCGGGGCCGTGCCCAGCGGGCCCCCGCTCTCCCGTGTGGCCACGGTGGACTTCACTGAGCTCGAGTGGCACATCTGCTCCAACCGGCAGCTGGTGCCCAGCTACTCAGAGGCTGTGGTCATGGGCGCCAGCTCGGGCGCCTACCTCCGCGGCTGCCAGCGCTGCCGCCGCTCCGTCAGCAGCAATTCGCTACCCCCTGCCCGGCCCAGTGGGCCCCGCCTGCCTTTCAGCCGCAGCCGCCTCTCACTGGGAGCTGGGGGCCGGGCCACACCCGGGGTCTTTCGGAGCCTGAGTGGGGGGCCGCTGGGGCGCCGTCGAGAGGACACAGAACCCCTGGAAAGCCCACCATGCTATGAGGACGCCCTTTACTTCCCGGTGCTCATTGTCCATGGGGACAGCGGCTGCCAGGGGGACGGGCAGGGTGCGCTCTGAGACCCCCTTGGGCCCCACCATTCCACGAAGGGCTTCGATGCCTGAGTAATTGTCGTCCAAAACAGGAGGGAACTCAGACCAGCACACAAGGGGAGGGGGTGGGGGGGAGTCCTCAAACAGACTGAAATGCAGACTCTGGGTCATTCCGGGCTTGAACGGATACCGTGGAAGTTGCGTCTATGAACCCTCCCAGCATGGCTCCCGCCCACCACCACCACGTCACACCGCCTGCAATGGCAGACGATCTGTTTTGGGAGCTCAGGCTGGGCAGGGGAGGAAGTTTCCAGAAAGCTGAAATGGAGGAGTCCCGGGGACAGCTGTCGCCTGTAGTACAGGGCCGTCTGTGGGCCTTCCCTGCATGACTGAGGCCATCCTGGGAGCCCTCGAGCCACCCAGAGCACAGATGGGTGGTTTGGGCCATGCCCAGCTGGGCTGACCTCCATGAAGCTGAAGAGCTGGTCATGGTAGCGCCATGGCCTCCGCCCCACTGCCCACCCAAAGTCCTCATCCTCTTCCCCTGACAGCCCCCAGCCCTACCCTCTGGGCCCTGCTCGGGGCCAGCCCCCGACTAGACCTTGCAGCACAGCCCCGCCACTGGGAGCCTGGTTCTCGGAGCACAGCCTGACCCCACGCCACCCCCGGCTCTTCCCCTGGTGTTGCCTCTCCCCCAGCGTCCAGCCCCTCCTTTAACCCGAGGCTGCTTCTCAGGGCCCACCTCGGTCTCGTCACATCCCCGGTACCCGCTCCTGCCCCCCCTCCCAAAGCCAGTGTCTGCCTCTGACAGCCACGCACACACCCTCTGGGCTTCGTCCTCATCACTCCCCTCGACTCCTCTGCTCTTCGTTTTCCCGGGGACCCAGGGCCACGGGGCATCCGAGGGGCCTCAGCCTGACCCAGCCTCCTGGACGATGCCCTTACTCTGCCGCGGAGGCCTCTGCCTCCCTGATCAGCAGGGCCCGGCTGAGGGGATGCCATTCCTCCCTGAAGGAGGAAACGGTCCCTTCCCTTCTGGCTCGGGCTTCCACCCACTCGCACGGGGCTGGTTGGGGAGGGGGAAGGCTGTGAAGATGCAGAGAAAATAAAAAGGTATAAAATGGAAGGTCTTCTCATGTGCATTCCTGAGTGGTAGGTCCAAGGCCACCCCACCAGCGCAATGCGCCAGCCTGGGGTCCAGGAGGGGAGGCGGGGCTGGGCTCCAGCATTCCCAGGGGCAGGGCGAGCTGAGGGGGGCCTCCCTGCCAGCCTGGGGCCTCTGAGACTCAGGTTTGAGTGGCTCTGAGCCGCTGACTCCAACCCACTGCTACCTGGGTCATTTCTCAGGTATTTTCCAAATGGTCCCATTCCAGCCCAGTGGGGGCTCCATTCTGCTGCGGGGTGTGCGAAGGAGTAAGGGAGGGTGATGGGGCCCCGGAGTGGGGAGAAAGAGCTCTGGCCAGTGGCAGGAGTTCCATCCCCGGTGGCCATTGGTGTTAGTGGCCGGGGCAGTGGGCACTGAGCAGGTTGGAGGACACAAAGTGGCAGACAGCCAACCCCAGGTCAGGGCTTGGGATCTGAAGGCAGAACAGGGCTAAGAAGATCCTTGCCCACTGACGAGCTAGGGAGGCCCCTGAACGTGGCACCTTCACATGTACAGCTCTGGTCACTGTGCAAGGGCACCAGGCTGTGGGGCGCCTGTGGGGGGAATCCAGTCTCCTTGAAACCCTGGTGTGGTGCTGCATCCCCCTGGATCAAGAGCACCCTTTCCTAACTCATGCGAAGTCTCCACAGGGCCTAGCGGTGGCCTGGAAGGTGCTGAGGATGGGAGGGATTCTCCCAGGCACAGGCAGGGTCCGGGTCCTCTGGGCGGTGGGAGCCACTGAGGTAAGGCCTCAGGTGCAGTCCCTGCAGCAAGGCACAAGGAGGAGCCGAAGCAAGGAGCCACGGAAGAGTTGCCTGGGGCCTTCCATTCACAACCCTGGAATGAGTCGCTAAACTGGGGCAAACTGGAGCCCTGAAGATGGTTGAGCGGGGGAGGTGATATAAGGGCAGCGCAGCTTGTTAGGATTTTAGCCAAAGGGGGCGGTTAGGGACCAGAGCTGTTCCTGCACATCAGCTCACTGCCTCACTTCTTTGGGAGGGTAGTCAATTCTTTGTAAATAAGCAGCTTAGGCGGAAAACTTTACAGCGCCCAGGCATCCAGGAGGCTGAATGGGCGGGGCCGCTGAACCAGTTCCAGCTCCTCCCCGGGGGGCGGATTCCCTCTTCCAACTGTCCTGCTCTGACGCCGCAGCTCTCTAGCCGCTGTCCATTCTCCTCTCCTCAAAAACAGATCCCCTGTTTTACTGCAGGTGGCAGTGAACCCAGCTCAAAGGCAGCTTGTCTAGCCTCCCTTGCCCATATCGGGTGGCTTTGTGACTTAAATTTTAAGATATGAGATATAAGCAGAATGTGTTGCAAGGGATTTCTAAGAATCCTCCTTGAAATACAAACCATATCGGTAGTGGCTAAGTCTGTCCTCTTGCCTCATCTTGCGTCCAGCGTGGAATGCAGATGTGGTAGTTGGGACTCCAGCAGCTTTCTTGGGTCAGCAGCTGACTTTGAGAATGCTAGCCAAGTGCTGAGGATAGCAGAGCATGACAATGTACCTCAAAACTCAGTAGCTTAAAAAAATCAATAATCATTAGTGTCTCTCCTTGTTTCTGTGGGTCAAGAATTCAGACAAAGCACAGAGAGACGGCTTAGCTCTGCTGCAGGATGTCGAGAACCCCGCCGAAAGCCTGGTGAGCCGGGGCGCCGTCCTCTTCAGGTTCCTTCACTCGCGCGCCTGGCAGCTGCCGCGGGCTGACGGCCCAGGGCCAAACGGGGGCCCCCATGTGGCTTGGGCTTCCTCATAACATCGTGGCTAAGTTCCAAGGACAAGTGTACCTACAGGATGGAATCTGCATTGCCCGTCACGGCCCAGCCTCAGGAGTCGCGTGCATCACTTCTGTCCCTTTCTATTGGTCAAGGTTCTTACAAAGTTCCACCCAGTTTCAAGGAAAGGGAACATCACGCTGTGAGATTTGCACGTGGGATGGGAGGTACACTAGTGGTCTTCAAAACTGCCATCGGTCACTGAGCCACGCGCCCTTCTGTACAGAGCGATCTCTACAGAGCTGTCTGCAAAATGAATGCCAACCTTTTACGATGCTGGTTTGAGGGAGGAAGCGGGTGGCGTGTCAATGTGGGCCTAATGAAGGCAGAATGGCCAGCTCTCCTCATTTTCGGAGTACCTCTGGCCTGTGGTAGATTACATAGGGCCACAAACTCTTTGCAGCTCCTCCCCTTCAGGGGTGGAATCCATTTCCCCCTTCTTTAAGTCTGGGCTGGGCTTGAGACTCGCTTTGGCCGATGGAGTGCGGTGGGGCAGGGGAGGCTGCACCGCGGCTGAGGCTGGGCCTTCAGAGGCCACGCAGCTCCCGCCTGCACTTGCGTGGAGCCGGGGGCCGCCGTGCTGTGAAGATGTCCTGTCTAGCCTCCTGACAGAGGAGAGGCCACACACAGGAGCACTGAGACCCCAGTCAAGAGCCAGCATCAGAGTCCAGAGCCGGGAGGGCCGCCGTTTGGACGTGCCAGCCCCAAGCGAGCCCTGGCTGGCCGCAGCCACTGGAGCGGCCCCAGGGTCACCCACAGACAAACCACCACGTGGATTCCAACCCAAATTACTGACCACAGAACGTCGACAAATAAGAAATCCCCGTTTTACACTCCTAAGTTCTGGAGTGATTTGTTAGCTACATCATGCAACGCTGATACAAGACCCTGGACCCACCTCCGCCACGCGGTGGAGGGTCCCTGGGCCTGCGCAGCCAGGCGGAGAAGGGAACCAGAACCCCCTATATCTGCTGGGTAGCTCCCCTTCCCAGTCCCCCCACATCTCTTGTCTGCGTGTCCGTTCCCCGCCAGAGCCAACACCCAGCTGGGATGCTCCATTCTAATCCGTTTCCAAGAGAGCGAAACTTCAGGAAGCGGGCAGAGCCTTGCTCCAAAATCCCAGAGGCCTCTGTCTTGCTGTCTGATGGAAGCCTAACACGGCATGGATGCACCCAAGCCCCGGGGCTCCAGCCTGCACCCCGGCCTGCTCCCTCCTCACTCTTCCATCTCAGTGAACGGAGTCACCATTCACCCAGCTGCTTAAGCCAGACACCACATGGCAACTCTCTTCTTCTCTTTAAAAAAAAAACAAAACCCAAAAAACTGTATTATGTAAAATTTCAAATATCACAAAAGTAGAGATTGGTGTGATGACACCCTCCATACCCAGAGCCACAGCCGTCATCCACCATGGCCGCTCTTGCACATAATTTTTTAAAAAGATTTTATTTATTTATTTTTAGAGAGAGGGCGAAGGGAGAAAGAAAGAGAGGGAGAGAAACATCAGTGTGCGGTTGCCTCTCATGCACCCCCTACTGGGGACCGGGCCTGCAACCCAGGCATGTGCCCCAACTGGGAATCGAACCAGTAGCCCTTTGGTTCACAGGCCCACCCTCAATCCACTGAGCCACAACAGCCAAGGCTGTGTGTGTGTATATATATATATATATATGTGTATATATATATATATATATATATAGTCTTTCTGTATTTTTTCCATTACCATTTAATCCCCTTTTCCCCCCTCCCCCACACCATGACCACTCTTATTTCACCCCACACAGACCCACTTCACCCCACTCCAAATGGGTTATTTTGAAGAAGATCTAGAAGTTGTAGCATTTCTTCTAAGAACATCTCCTTCACGCCCCCTGTGAAATCTACCCCCTGGGATTCTACCTACAACACACCTCTCTAAACAGCCCCAGGTCCTCTGCAGCCCAAGCCACCGTGATGTTCCAGGCCCCCAGGGGCCCTTCTCCCATGATTGTCGGGGGCTCCCAGACGCCTCTCCGTAGAGTCTCCTCCCACCCTTGTGAAATCGTCTTAAGTGTTACTCAAATCACATCTCTACCCAAAATACAACAGTGTCTCCCACCAAACATCACATAAAATCCAGACTCCTACCCCAGCCCTCAGGTCGCCGTGGGGTCCAGCAGACATTCCCAGTCTCACCCGGAATCCTCTCTCCTTTCCTTACAGAGCCCTGGCCACAGCGGCCTCATGCCTGATTCTAAAACAGGCCACGCTTCTTCCCACCTGGAGGGTCTTGGCACATGACGCCCCCCCTCCTAGAGCCCTCTTCCTTCCGTAGCCTTGGGGGCTCCACTCAGCAGTGGGGATCAGCACATGTGTAAGTCCAATTGTTCTGTTTAAAGCCACCCCTCCCCACTGACCCCACCACTATTCTATTTTTTTAAATGATTCTATTTATTTTTAGAGAGAGGGGAAGAGAGGGAGAAAGAGGAAGAGAAACATCAATCAGTCACCTTTCGCAAGCCACCACAACCTAGGTATATGTCCTGAGTAGGAACTGAACCGGTGACCTTTTGCCTTTCGGAACACCGCCCAGCCAGCTGAGCCGCACCGGTCAGGGTCCCGCCGGCCGTCTTAATCTCAGCTTCCCTCCCTTTGCATTTCCTTTTTGTCACTCACTGTAAGTTGCAATAATTTTTATTTATGTATATATGAATCTATTACTTGTGTCTTCTATTAAAACTAAAGCTACAGGAAGGAAGTGGTCACAGGTGCAGAACTTTGAGTCAGATGGAGTCCCAACTCTGCCACTGTGACCTCAGTGGCCTTGGGCAAGTCACTTACCCTCTCTCTCTGCAGTCATACCAGCTGCAAAATATGGGATAATATGGAAGCTGCTGACTTCAGAGGGTTGTTGTAAGGATTAAATAAGATAACATGCCACCGTGTGCCCTGGCTGGCATGGTTCGGTGGGTTGAGCGCTGGCTTGCAGACTGGGAGGTCGCAGGTTCCATTCCCTGGCAGGGCTGGGTTGTGGGCCATTCCCCGGTTAGGGGTGTGCGAGAGGCAACGCATCAACTGATGTTTCTCTCCCTCTCTCTCTCCCTCCCTTACTCTCTCTCTAAAAACAAATAGATACAATCTTTTTTTTAAAAAAAACTCTGCCGTGTTTAAACAGGGTCTCAAGCACAGTAAATGCTC